CACTCTTTTACCCTTTTCAAAAAAAAACTTCACCAGACATAATAATATTACAGCTTTTGAAATTAGGTATTAAACATTGCTAATTCATAATATCCAATTCGTCACTGAATTCCCACGTTTTTTGGGACACCCTGTAGATACTTAATAACATAGATTGATTAACAAAATTAACAATATATGATATGACACTGGATGTCGTCTTTTCAAGATTTAGGGTTTTTTGTTCACAATAACCTTAAAGCAGAAGCCCAAAGGAGGTCCGCGCAAGAAGCGTTGAATTACAATACAGAAAGAGAGCATGCACTTTAATCATTGTATTTAAGCACGGAAAAACACTATCACAATCCTCTTTATAATACTTTTGTTATTAAGATATATGGCCCATAAAAATATAATTGAACATAAAATAGTAATGAAACCCAAGGTACTAATGCAAGGAAAGATAATTGCGGTTGGGTGTACCCAGGCGCGCAACTAGAGGGGGGGCCAGGGGGCCAGGCCCCCCCAGCCTGATTGAAGGAGGGGGCATGCCCTCCCTTAAGAAGGCTTGCCCCCCCCCGGGCAAGGGGGCAAGAAGTCCACCCTGTTTTGCAATTTAGCGATTTATGAATCCTGACCCTGAGAAAATTTAAGAGCTCTTATCGTAAAATAAAAAAAAAGATAATTGAACGTTAGTTTATTGAGCAATTAGTTGCAATCGATATAGCACTTATACACCATATACACACACACAGACCCCTTCGTCTCCGAGCCTAACTACTGCCGTAGATCAGAACAGGTTGATAAGGTTCCAAGGTACCTTAATCTTTGTTTTTTTTCATTATGCTGTTTTTTCCTGGGAAAGGGAAAGGGGGTTTATTAAGTATAACACACATTTTTCTTGCCCCCCCCCCCTAAAAATGTTTAGGGGGGGGCCAAAAAAATTTTCCCTCTAGCCCCCCCCCCTAACCAAATGTCTAGTTGCGCGCCTGATTGCCTTAGGCCTAATTTAGTAGAAAACAGGTCAAAAACCATCCTACAACGATGAACCACATAATGAACAGAGAGGCCTAGTCATAGTTTAGCGACATAACTCAAAAGTTCCCCCCAAAACCAGGTTTCGGGTTTAAATGTTAAAAAATCTGAACATGAAAGAAATATTTTAAACCTGTTTTGTTACTTTAATCCAAATTAATGAGCCCCCTGGAATAAAAAAATGTGTAAAATTGCGAAATTATTGAACAAATGATGAAATTCTGCATGTTTTTTTATTTTTGAAATATCATTTGTTATGTTTAGGGGGAGGGGGCCAAAAAAAATTTCCCCATAGCCCCCCTCTAACCAAATGTCTAGTTGCGCGCCTGTGTGTACCCTGCGTACATATTAAAACCAGTTCTCTCTGGGCTGACTTTGTAAAATAGAATAGATGCATCAGTGTTCGTCTAGTATCCGAGGAGGATTAAAGCATTTAATTTTGACAATTTTGATAATTCACATAACAGTTTCCTATGACCAGAATATTTCATAGATTATTTTTGTGAAAATGGATTCCATGTCAGGCTGTGGAATCCGTCTTGTGTTTACTTTTCCGCCCAAAGTCAGTACACTGCAGTACAAAAAATGCGTACACTTCTGAAATAACTTTCCTTGCATTAGTATCTTGAATAAAACCAATAATGTTATTAAAGTGAACACGCGGCCTTGAGGACATTATTCACCCCATTAGTTGTTCAGAACATCCTCAACTAAACTTTCGGTGCGTTCTGTAGTAATTTGCGGTACACTGACCAAATATTTAGTAGGATTTAGAGAAGAGTGAGCAGGTAAAAAGTGTCATTTAATTTAGAATTTCAGAGATGGGATTGAAATCAATCATAAAAGGAAGCTGTCAAAGTTTCAAAATTATGATTTTCAAGTGTGTGAAAAATTTTGTTATTGATCAGAATATATTTAAGAAAAATTAAGAAAATGATATTTAAAAACTAAGCTCTGTAGCTATATACAAAGAATAAAGTCTAAAGCAAATAAGTTTTATCAGCAAATGAACTGATTGTCTTCCTCAAACTCTAAGTTTCTGATTCCAGCTACAGTTTAATCCAGAACTAAACTCTAAGTTTCTGATTCCAGCCACAGTTTAACCCAGAAATAAACTCTAAGTTTCTGATTCCAGCTACAGTTTAATCTAGAATTTAACTCTAGGTTTCAGATTCTAGCTACAGTTTAATTCAGAACTAAATTCTAAGGTTCTGATTCCAGCTACAGTTTAATCCAGAACTAAACTCTAAGTTTCTGATTCCAGCTACAGTTTAATCCAAAACTAAACTCTAAGTTTCAGATTTCAGCTACAGTTTAATCCAAAACTAAACTCTAGGTTTCAGATTCCAGCTACAGTTTAATCCAGAACTAAACTCTAAATTTCTGATTCCAGCTACATTTTAATCCAGAACTAAACTCTAGGTTTCTGATTCCAGGTACAGTTTAATCCAGAACTAAACTCTAAGTTTCTGATTCCAGCTACAGTTTAATCCAGAACAAAACTCTAGGTTTCTGATTCCAGCTACANTCATTTCATTCGATTTTTTATTTGTTAAAAAATGTTCGGTCCTCAAATGGACTTAATAATCACTACAAAATATTATTATTCAAAATGTTTTCATTTGTGTAAATTCGGCTTTGAAAGAAAAATTTGAAATATCAAAGGTTTACACCATTAGGTTGGAAAGATGTAGGGATATGAAATATCAAAGGTTTACACCATTAGGTTGGAAAGGTTGGATTTGAAATATGAGTGTTTGAGGCGAGTAATCAGTTCCTTTGTAAAGAAGTAAGTTGTATTTATTTCAGAGAAGGATCAGAATTAATGCTCTATAGAAAACTATGGCGGACTCACAAAAGTAATAAATAACATATTACTGTTGTACAAGCTGTACAATACAGAAGAAATTGAACATAATGTGTGAATATTCTCTCTCCCCCCCGCTCCTTACTGAACTGCAGGNTACAAAATAGTTTACATGTGTTCAATAATAAAGCTTAACGACAAATTCGTTTACATTTTTTTGAGAGATTTGTATAAGGGTTAAAAACCTACATTTTTTAAATTAAAAATTTGGAATTAAGGATACTTGGATCCTGCAAAACATAAAAATTGAAGAGTGCACCAATGAAGTAGTAGAACATTAAAAGCATATAATAGGTCATTGACGATAAAAGGGTATGCGGATTCAATAGAAATTTTTAATATAAGAATCGTTTGCAAATAATTTGGGCAATTTATGTAGAAATCAGTTTGCGCAAACACTTTACAATTTTCATGAAACATTTATATAAAGTCAATGTACACTATATGGAAAATACACAGATTGTACCAACGCAGAACATTGAAGGTTCTTCGTTGGTATGGCATTACATTAGTTAAACTATGTAGTCTTGACGCTATTTAGCCAACGTAAAGTAAACTAAAGCAGAATTGGCGATCTGTGCCATGATTTCCAGAAAGGAACTGGTTTCTCGAATCTCGCCTTAAACCCCTTTTTCTTAAATTTTATATTATTTAAACCTGTTGGTTTATTTCAACTTTGATATTTCAATCTTATTTCGAATTATGTACTGTATAATGCATGGTGTGTAGTATATGATGTACATTGTATATTTATAGTGTATATTGTGTAATGAATTGTATAAAGTATATTGCTTAATGTATAATGTATAATGAATTGTATATTTTATTATGTTTATTTTATAATGTAAATTGACAATGTTTATTGTATCACGTTTAGTTTATAACGTATATTTATAATGTAAATTGTATAAAGTAGATATAGTGTTTAATGTATAATGTATGATGTATGATGTATGATGTATATTTTATATTTATAATGTATATTTTATAATTTATGTTGCATAGCGTGAATTGTAAATTGTATAATGTATTATGCATATTGTAAAATGTTTAATGTATTATGTATTATAATGTAATATGAATTATGTATATAGTATAATGTATAATGTATAATGTATTAGGTATACTGTATAATATATAGTGTATTATGCATATTGCATAATGTATAATGTATAATGTATAATGTATACTGTATAATGTATAGTGTATTATGTATATTGTATAATGTATAATGTATTATGTATAATGTATAATGTATAATGTATGTGTTCAATCTTCAGTTCATACAAATGCAAATTCTATTCCATGTTTCCTGCAAGATGAATGCAGAATTTCGAGCAAAATTGTTAAAACTTAATTAGTTAAAAGAGAGAGGTTGCAAACCAAGAGTTAAAGAGAGAGGTTGCAAATCAAGAGTGAAAGAGAGAGATTGCAAACCAAGAGTTAAAGAGAGAGGTTGCAAATCAAGAGTGAAAGAGAGAGATTGCAAACCAAGAGTTAAAGAGAGAGGTTGAAAATCAAGAGTGAAAGAGAGAGATTGCAAACCAAGAGTTAAAGAGAGAGGTTGCAAATCAAGATTTAAAGAGAGAGGTTACAAACCAAGAGTTAAAGAGAGATGTTACAAACCAAGAGTTAAAGAGAGAGGTTACAAACCAAGAGTTAAAGAAAGAGGTTACAAACCAAGAGTTAAGGAAGAGAGGTTGCAAATCAAGAGTTAAAGAGAGTGGTTACAAACCAAGAGTTAAAGAGAGATGTTACAAACCAAGAGTTAAAAAGCGAGGTTACAAACCAAGAGTTAAAGAAAGAGGTTACAAACCAAGAGTTAAAGAGAGAGGTTACAAACCAAGAGTTAAGGGAGAGAGGTTGCAAATCAAGAGTTAAAGAGAGTGGTCACAAAGCAAGAGTTAAAGATAGAGGTTACAAACCAAGAGTTTAAGAGAGAGGTTACAAACCAAGAGTTAAAGAGAGATGTTACAAACCAAGAGTCAAAGAGAGAGGTTACAAACCAAGAGTTTAATAGAGAGGTTGCAAACCAAGAGTTGACGAGAGAGGTTGCAAAACAAGAATGAAAGTTATCAAAACGCGATTGCTTTCAATTAATTACTTTAAACACATTAAAAATTAAATAAAAATGTATTTACAATCAAATCTTATCTATATTACAGTAAGTGCTGACACGTGAAAATATAAAGTGACATCTGAACGCGGCATTCTTATGTAAACCACACAATTTTGATAAAAATAAGGTGAACATTGCACTCCTAGAATCTCCAAAATGTTATTTATTTATTTATTCATTTGCGTTCGAAAAAGACAACTTTAGATAAGTGTCAAGAAAAGAAATCTGCTAAGCTAATATTGATTTCCGATTATCTCTTTATAAAAATGATTTTAAGGTAAAAATTTATTTTATCTGTTCACGGTAGTTGCTCGGTCCTGGAGTTGAGTGTAGTTTCTTGCTGCCGAAGTTAGCCATGAAATCTATCGGGATCGGGATTCTATCTGTTCACTGTAGTTTCTTGCTCCCGAAGTTAGCCATGCAATCTATCGGGATCGGGATTCTATCTGTTCATTGTAATTTCTTGCTGCCGAAGTTAGCCATGAAATCTATCGGGATCGGGATTCTATCTGTTCATTGTAGTTTCTTGCTGCCGAAGTTAGTCATGAAATCTATCGGGATCGGGATTCTATCTGTTCACTGTAGTTTCTTGCTGCCGAAGTTAGCCATGAAATCTATCGGGATCGGGAAAATAATTGTAGAATTTTTCTCTCCAGAAATAGAGTTTAATGTCTGAAATTAAAAGTTTTTTAATAATGTTTTAGAGCCGTCTTTAAATTTTCATCTGAATCTGCATAGTTATTGGCTGCGGGGGTAATAGATACCTGTAGATATCTAAGCTAAATAGCTACAGGGATAATAGATGTCCCCCTGTGTACCTGTAGATATCTAAGCTGCATAGCTGCAGGCTTAATAGATGTCCCCCTGTATACCTGTAGATATCTAAGCTGCATAGCTGCAGGCTTAATAGATGTCTCCCTGTATACCTGTATACCTGTAGATATCTAAGCTGCATAGCTGCAGGGTTAATAGATGTCCCCCTGTATACCTGTAGATATCTAAGCTGCATAGCTGCAGGGTTAACAGATGTCCCCCTGTCCCCCTCTGTATACATGTAGATATCTAAGCTGCATAGCTGCAGGCTTAATAGATGTCCCCCTGTATACCTGTAGATATCTAAGCTGCATAGCTGCAGGGTTAACAGATGTCCCCCAGTATACCTGTAGATATCTAAGCTACATAGCTGCAGGGTTAACAGATGTCCCCCTGTCCCCCTATATACCTGTAGATATCGAAGCTGCATTGCAGCAAGGTTAACAGATGTCCCCATGTCCCCCAGTACACCTGTAGATATCTAGGCTACATAGCTGCAGGGTTAACAGATGTCCCCCTGTCCCCCAGTATACCTGTAGATATCTAAGCTGCATTGCAGCAGGGTTAATAGATATTATTTCAGATGCAGCTCTTAGTGCAGTAGATGCAGTTTTCTCTCCCTCTGCTTGTATCACCTAAACAAATCAATTAATCAACAAAGAACTATTTTTAGATAAATCAAAAAAGAGTCTATTTTTTCTTTTACTTTTTATTATTTCCTAGTGATTTAATGCCTACTTTACATGCGCACCTTATTTCTTGCCTCTCTGGTTGTTTTGTCTTGTTGCTAACCTTATTTTTAATCTTCTTGGATACTTTAACGTGCTAACCTTAGATCCAGCCTCCCTGATTGCTTGTTTACTGCTAACCTTATATATAACCTCCTTGGATATATTGACATGTGTACCTTAGCTATAGCTTCTCTGGTTGCTTTGTCTTGATGCTTACCTTATCTATAACCTCCTTGGAAAACTCTACAAGTTTACTTTAGCTCTAGCCTCCCTGGTTTGTCTTGCTGCTAACCTTATATAAATATATAAAACCTCCTTTAATAACTCTACATGCTTACCTTAGCTCTAGCCTCCCTAGTAGATTTTTTCTTACTCATAACCATATGTAAAACCTCCTTGGATATATTTATATGCTTACCTTAGTTGTAGCCTCCATGGTGGCTTCTGCTTTCTGCTAACCTTATTTTTAACCTTCTTGGATAACTCTACATACGACCTTAGCTTTAGCCTCCCTAGTTGCTTTGACTTGATGCTAACCTGATTAATATAAAAAATCTCTTCATCCCTACCTTAGCTCTAGCCTCCCTGGTTGCTTTGTCTTGATGCCAACCTGATTAATATAAAAAATCTCTTCATCCCTACCTTAGCTCTAGCCTCCCTGGTTGCTTTGTCTTGATGCCAACCTGATTAATATAAAAAATCTCTTCATCCCTACCTTAGCTCTAGCCTCCCTGGTTGCTTCTGCTTCTGCTGCCATTGCTCTTTGCAGTTGAACAGGAAGCCGCACATCCTTTCTAAATATCACAGAGTGATTTTACATCAGTATTTAAAAGAAATGATTTATATTTTTATAACTATACAGAAATTGAACATTCGCCTCAAGCTCTGATTTTCGAACCCGTAAAGCTTTTCAAATTGAAGATGTAAAGAGGGAGGGAAATCACACCAGACTTGTTTTTCGTCCGCACCACAACTGACGTCACATTTCACCATTATTTCTTCCGAAAACACTTTTATTCGTCCGGCATGGTTTACATTCTTGTTTGAAGTACTTATTATTTTCGAATTTTGAGCCATGTCATGTTGTTTATAATGGCTAAAAATATTATTTCCTGGTTTTTTTTTTAAAGGAGAATAGGCATGAAACAGTTTTAAGCAAATCAAAACCAATTTCTATATTTTTTACTGAAAAAAATCTATAGTTTTAGTTGTTGATTATAAAAGTTGCAGTTTATGATTAAAAAAAAATAAAACAACAGAAAAGTGTGTAGTCCGGAAGAAAAATAGGCGATGCATGAAGCAAACATATTTTTCGTTTTGTGCTAAATTGGGCTTAAATATCGTTTTATTTTTTAAACAAAATGCTTTTTTTGTTTAAATTAAAATCGAATTGAATAACAGGACGATGCCTAAGATTAAAAAAAGTGTTAAGGCATAAAAAAAAAAAATTGAAAACACAGACGCAACGCCCGCTCCGCCCGCACGAAAAAAAGGTGTGGTCGGAAGAAATAATGGTGAGTTGTGACGTCATTAATGGTGCGGACGAAAAAAAGGTGCGGTGTAATTTGTAAACCTTTAATATTTTAAATTTGATCTAAAATGATCCAAAGTCTTAAACTAAAGGTATCTGGTTGCAAAAAAAATTGATTCGAAAAATTAAGATTGAGCCAGTTTCAGTCGTTTTCTTCATAAATTCCATACATGTTTTGAATCCTTTTTAAGCTAGGTGCTACGTTTTTACACCTACATTTAAACCCTGGACAATACTTTATTCGTAATTTGGCCTTTGTTTGTTTTTTTAAAGATATTTTTCTGCTGTTTCTTATTTTAGATAATGTAAGAAGATAATTTCTTTTATAACCTTGATTTTGAACGACTAGAATTATAAAGAATATTATGATGATATCTCAGTAAATTAACATAAAATTGGGTGGAAACTGTAAATTGATAATGGAAGTATTCGCTTTTGTCTTCAAGTTTAAGAAATAGTTACTTAAAGTAGGTCTCATATAATTCTAGAATGGAAAGACGAATATTAGACTCTAGTTATGATTTTAATTAGTCCGATGAACTTGAACCAACGCAACTGTTCAGTGTTACTCAGACATAATTCACTAATTAAGTTGATCCTAAAGATTCTGATAAAACTATTTACAATTTCTAACAATATCAAGTACAAAAGGATTGCTTTAATGTCGTCTTATTATTCAAAAGTTTTACAGGTCCTACTGTTTATAGGATGAACTAAGCTACTAATGCAGGGAAAGTTAATTGCGGTTGTGTAAACTCTGCGTACATATTGAAACCAGTTCTCTCTGGGCGAAATTTGTGAACAAGAATAGATGCAGTACCCATGAGATGCACCAGTGTTCGTCTAGTATCCGAGGAGGATTAAAGCATTTAATTTTGATAGTTTTGATTATTCACATAACAGTTTTCTATGACCAGAATATTTCATAGATTATTTTTGTGAAAATGAATCCCATGTCAGGCTGTGGAATCCGTCTTGTGTTTACTTTTCCGCCCAAAGACAGTACACTGCAGTACAAAAAATGAGTACACCTCTGAAATAACTTTCCTTGCATTATATAGTACCTTGGGATGAACCATATATTAAAAGCCAATAAAAAAAGGTTGAATTCTCACCTTAATGTAGTAGCTGCCAGTAAATGTGTTGAGTGTCTGAAATCCTCAACATTATTCATCGCCATCGTAGGATTAGAAACCCTAAACAAAATATGAAAAATCATGAAAAAAATAAACCCATTAGTGTTAAAGTCTTGATTTAATAAGCCAGAAAAAACAGTTTCTCGGTGGAAACAAAGTTACCACTAATAGGTTAATAAAATATGTTATTCAGCAGACAATAATTTAAAATGTTTTTCTTTGTAAAATATGATTTTAATTAATAAGTGAATCAAGTAATGGAATTAAGTCTTTGCCACAAACTCATATTTTCTGATCCTTATATCTTTGCAAGCCGATGGTGTAATTCGTTGCTGCTTCATACAAAGATATATGGATTAGAAAGTCAGAGTTTGTGGCAAAGACTCAAATAAACTTCTCACAACTTTTCCTAAACCGCGAAAGTCAACTTTTAAAAATTTAAATTCATGTTCAACTAGTTATTGCAAGTTCAACTAGTTACGGCAAGTTCAACTAGTTACGGCAAGTTCAACTAGTTACAGCAAGTTTAACTAGTTATACGGCAAGTTTAACTAGTTACGGCAAGTTCAACTAGTTACGGCAAGTTTAACTAGTTATACGGCAAGTTTAACTAGTTACGGCAAGTTCAACTTGTTACGGCAAGTTCAACTAGTTACGGAAAGTTCAACTAGTTACGGCTAGGGGGGCGGAAACGTCATGTATGTGTCTGTACCAGCTGGGGTGGAAACGTCATGTATGTGTCTGTACCAGGGGGCGGAAACGTCATGTATGTGTCCGTACCAGGGCCCGGGGGCGGAAACGTCATGTATGTGTGTCTGTATCAAAAGAGTGGGTGTAAGTAATACCGAACCGAAGGCGTGTACTGTAGGTATATACAGTACATTAGAATCTCGGTATTTGTACAGTCCAGGAGAGTACATTTGTTTATTGTTAATTGTTTACTTAAGAATAAGTTTAATATACATGTAATATATTATTTACATATTTAAGTCAACACTATAAGCCAAATGTTCATGCAAAGAATATAACTTGATTAAAGTTTACAATAAAATACTCGTTATTCAAGCTTTATTATAATTGACAGTGTTCTACAATTTCCTTGACTGTAGTCATGCTGTGTGTCTGTACCAAAAGAGTGTGCGTGTGTGATACCGAACTCGTCTGAAAAGCAGAGCGACTGGCTTTCACATGCCAGCGCTATTTCCCTTCCCTTTATTCCTATTCCCTGGTTACGACAAGTTCAACATATCATAAATAATGCTGTTTGACGGTTCTAGATAATAGTTATAATGGCCGTACCTAGTTAAACTAATTCTTTTAGGTTGAAAAAGACTTGAGTATTTCACTCAAGTTCAAATACTTATATTTTTGCAACCTGATGGTGTAGACTTTTGTTGTTTTAAACTTAGAATATTTGATCTGACAGAATTCACAGTTTGAAATATCAAAGGTCTATGACATCGGACTGCAAAGTTATTGGGATTATAAAATCAGAATTTGTGGCAAGAGCTCAGTTCCATTCCCTATAAGAACCTCTAGTTTTAAGATAAAAACAGAAACAAAGATACACATGCAATTCCAAATTGTTCTAATATCTGACCTCTTGCGGTGGAACATCGAATGACACAGTTCTGAGATCGACCTTGATGAAGGAGTCAATACAGGGAATAATAAAGAATATTCCAGGTCCTTTAGCTCCTCCCATTCTGAACATATTGTTAGTTATTCCTAACAAATAGTATTCCAGGTCCTTTAGCTCCTCACATTCTGAACATATTGTTAGTTATTCCTAACAAATAATATTTAAGCTCCTTTAGCTCAGCCCATCCTGAACATAATGTTAGTTATTTTTAACAAACGGCAATCCAGGTCCTGTAGCTCCTCACATCCTGAACATAATGTTATTTATTCCTAACAAACAGTATTCTAGGTCCGTTAGTTTCTCCCAACCTGAACATATTGTTAGTTATTCCTAATAAAGAGTATTAAAAGCCCTTTAGATCCTCCCATTATGAACATATTGATAGTTATTCCTAACCCTAACAAACAGTATTCCTAGCACTTTAGCTCCTCCCATTGCTAATTAGCAAAGTCTTTGCTATGTATATGTATTGAGAGAGAACCGAATAGATAGCGGTTCTCCCATCCTGCTCTTAAAGTTTTAAAATAAACTATTTCGGATTACAAACAAATGCATCATAGCAAGTAAGATGTATATTTTATTTACATCGAATGCAGCGTTGAATCTACGAACCGAAATTGCGTAATGATTAATTGATTGTTGTAGAGAGCGTCGTCTTTTTCTATACATTTTACACGTTTTAATACGAAAAATATGGATTTATTGTTTATAACTCAAATATCAAAAGTTTTCATATTTTAGTATATAATAGCTAACACATAATGGCAATGTCATTGAAATATGATAAATTAAAATTTTTTGGGCTGCCGTTGTTGTAAAACGTCTAGTATAATGTTTCAGATAAAGGGATTCCGTGAACCGTCCTTTTGAGCTCGAATTCTGAACGAAAAATAGGCTTTTTCTCCGGTCACAGTGGTCTTTGAAGAGTAAGACTAATACAAATTAACAGCTAATAAGGCTGTTTAGTTTACCATTAAATTATCCAAATAAGTGAACGGTCCCTTTAAAATTGCACATCCCACATTTTTTCACATCTTAGAAGCTGTCATGTCATGTTCACATCATATCTCTTTACCTCTAACAAAATTGACCTGAATCTCAAGTCAAAACACATCTATCTATCTATCTATCTATCTATCTATCTATCTATCTATCTATCTATCTATCTATTTATTTATCTTTCTATCCTGTTTATCAAAATTACACTTATTCCTAGATGTTTAACGAAAAGCAGGATATTAAAAATATTTAAGATTAAAACCTGCTGACAGGTAGTTAGCGTAAATGATGGACAAGTTTAGTAATCCAGGGAAAAACAAAGAAAAAAAACACTAAACTTGTTTTTTACAAGCATTTCAAAAATATTATATCAAAGATTTGATTTTTCTAATTTGTTTGTCAAACTCGTCAAACGGAAGAAGACAAAGTCTAAGTTCATTTGGTTACATGAGACATAAAAGTTTAAAACGTACTTATCATACACAGGGGCGGATACAAGGGGGGCGACAAGACCTTCGCACCCCCCCTGACAGATTCAGGGGGGGGGCGTCTTAAGATTTCAGATTAACTATTCATTAGCACTTACGGGAATGAAAACCAAGTGCAAAATAGGAAAGACAAAAAAATTCTCCTTCGAATCTGAGATTCAAATTCTATTTTAAGATTGCATTCTAGATAATTATATTTTTATTACGTAAAGCAAAATTCTTACTCTGATCAAAGATATTGACCAAAACGATTGTTCAAAACGGAAAACGATTTTCTTATCGTTTTGAAAATCGTTTTGGTAAATATCTTTTATCAGAGCAGACATTTTGCCGTGTTCAAAAAAAGCAATCGTGTGAAGCCTTCAAAAAGCCTAAAAAATTTAAATGTTTAAACCATGCCCTGCAGTTCTTATAGTTTAGAGGTGTTCTAGTCGAAATGTATGTGTGGTGTTTTAGTCTAAAGCTAGTTGTAGTCGAAATATAAATATTACCTGAGGCGACCTAGTAGATTTAAAAGTATTACCTGAGGCGACCTAGTCGAAATACAAGTATTACCTAAGGGACCTACTCGAAATATTAGTGTTACCTGAGGCGACCTAATCTAAATATTAGTGTTACCTAAGGCGACCTAGTAGAAATATTAGTATTACCTGAGGCGACCTAGTAGAAATATTAGTATTACCTGAGGCGACCTAGTCGAAATATTACAGCTCTTTCATACTCCTTGACAACCTAGAGGATAATAAAATACAACTATTTAAGTTTTAAACTGACAAGTACATCGTTTAACAAAACACGTAGGTTGCTAACAGACAGTTAAATATTTTGAGTTTTCATTGAACTTTGTTTAAAAAGAATTGAGTCTTTGCCAGAGCATAACTTTTCTAATCCCTTTATCTTTGTAACCTGATGGCGTAAACCTTTTATATTTAAAATTTAGATTATGTGATCTAACAGAACTAATAGTTTAAAATATCTCAGGTCTAAGACATTGTGCTGCAAAGATATAGGGATAAGAAAATCAGAGTTTGTGGCAATGCTCAATTCCTTTGGGGAAAATGGCTTGTAATCTACGAAACCTAGATAAGAAAGAAATATAATAACAATGAAGACTACGAGAATACGAGAATACGAAAGAAACATTCGGAAAAAAAATTGATATAAATTAAGAAAAAAATATTTTGACAATGTTTTACCTTAACAGTGAAGAATAGAGAGAGGGGTAGGGTTGCTATTACTATCAGAGCAGAGAATATTGCAAGGAAAAAAGCACAGCAGCCAGGACCGTCAGCATCCCCTGCAAAATATCAATTTAAGAAAATGGACAAACTTTTTCAAAACAACATGAATGTAATACAAGTAAAAATAAGAACGGATTTCATATTAGGAAACAATAAAATAATGTAAAACTTTCTTTTTAATTTTTGGGATTTTGATATAGAATTTCAAGGTAAGCAAACAAGCATCATGAAAATTTTTATTTCTGAAATAAAAAAATTTACATGAAAATCCTATAGGGCCCGAATATAATCCTATGGGGCCCGAATATAATCCTATAGGGCCCGAATATAATCCTATAGGGCCCGAATATAATCCTATAGGGCCCGAATATAATCCTATGGGGCCCGAATATAATCCTATAGGGCCCGAATATAATCCTATAGGGCCCGAATATAATCCTATGGGGCCCGAATATGCAGGACCATTTATGTGTTCTTCTCAATAAACTGTTAATCTAAGGAAATGAGTCTTTTCTACTAACTCAGTAATCTTTGCAATCTGATCTTTTTAACTCAGATTATTTGGTCTGAAAGAAATCATGTCTGAAATAACTAAGGTCTACGATATGGGATGGTAAATATATAAGGATTAGAATGTAAAGGCTGAGGTTTACCAGATAATCCAAAAGTTAGAAATCTTAAAACTTTTTTCAATCCTGTCACATTCTCCTCCTCCTTCTCTCGGAGCTCCTGGCCCTAAAAAACAAATCATTTCCAAAAAAGCGTATTTTCAAGTTACTCTCAATGCAAAGACGGCAACGCCCGATTCACAACAGCACTCTTGAAATCTTTGTTTGCTCCATTATGAATTAGATATCCATGTTGTTTCCATTTATCTGCGGGTAAAATGATTTTCGCATTTCTTGTTTATAATTATAAGCGAAGGAGAAATTAATAAATGACGGTACATGTTTGATCAGATTAAGGTTTCAAGGGTACCGCTGCAAATCTGGCATAGTCATGTTAGCATTGAAGGGTTAATTAAAATATGCTTACAGTCCCTTTAAGAATAAATCAACTTTAAATAAAAGATTCTGTTTACTTTTCCAGATTTTTTCTGCACTTAAATATAATTTTTCATAGATTTTCTTTATATACAAACTAAATTATTCACATCAAAGTTCTTTGACACCAAAATCAATGGAATATGATAAATCTAGGATATTTTCATTCTTGCTATCAAAGTAAAGTTTTAGCCGAAAGGTTGTCGATTTTACGTCATAAAGAATGACGATATCTTTCTTATTCTTTAATGCATATTTAAAGGATAACAACGTTGAATTGTTTTACTGTCATCTCAGAATGTCGCAGATTATAAAAGTAAGATTATTAAAATTATTTTCCGCCTCGTGATTGGCTTTCCAATATTTCATTAAAAGTTACGACATTAAAAAAAGGGAGTTTCGCCTTTTCAGCCTAGCAATTCTTCTATGATTAGGTTCTACATGTTGTATCTAGTTTAGGGTGCTGTTTGAAAACAGATTTCCTCTAACATGCATGCAATTATTAATCAGATTTTAAAATTTATTTCTTTCCGCTTCCATTTCATTTCTTTCATTCTGCAATTCATAACCCTTAACTGATATAGCTAGGAGTGGATAGAATTAAACTGATAAATGATTTCTCTCTAAATAATCCCAGATCTAATGATGCGAGGTGCTCAAGCTAAATGTTTATTCCGGAGTAAAAACGTCCGAAGGAGTTAAGTGAAAATGTTAACTTTACGTTTTAGCAACATTGTAATGTTTGTAGTCGTAAATTTCGTAGATTTGGAAATACTTTTTTTAAAATAATTCAGCTCGGGGCATTATTTAGGTTCCTTTTTAAAAGAGCAGAGAAATATTAAAGGGTGTTAACATCAAACATTTTACACTTTTTCTCTGAGAGGCTTAATTATGATCATAATAATGAAATTAATACCACAATGTCTCTATCATGTTAGGACTATCGGACTATTGGATTTGGTCAACTCTGCTCTGTAAAAATGCCTTTAATCTTCTTGTTAGACAACAAAGTTAAATATAAATCTATTCTCTTCAGCTTACCGTATACAGAGCAGAAAAATATAAATCTATTCTCTTCAGCTTACCGTATACAGAGCAGAAAAATATAAATCTATTCTCTTCAGCTTACCGTATACAGAGCAGAAAAAGCTTTCAGTTTTCCCAAGTCTTAAAAAAGAATATTTTGATAAAACTTGCAGTAAAATTAAATCACTAAATATTTCTAATTATTATTTCAAAATTATTAATTTTTTCATACTGGGCACTAATGGTTAAAACAATTGTTTGGGGTCCATAAAACTGTGGAATAGGAAGACGACAGTAAGACTCAAGTTATTTTTTAGGTACTCCAATGAACAGCAATTGTGGTCGTACCCTGACTTGATTTTTAAACTTCGGGTAAACCCTTTTGCTTTAAAAAAAAACATCAACAATAACATTTAAGATTTTTAAAATGTCATTTTCCTCTTCCACAATTTTATGGGTTTCACTGTGTAACATTGCAATATGAGCTTATTTAAAAATGTAAAAACAATTCCATTTCAAACCGAGAATAGGTTTAAAAAAGCAATTTTTCAGATCAGAACTTTCTGACATTCTTTACGTTTCTTCCAAATTGTCCATTTCAAGCTTGAAGTATTTCAGAACAAACAGAAGTATTAAAAAAGTTTTAATTTACCGTTTTCAGATTTACGAAGAGGTAAATTACTATTTTCATTCCGCGTAGAATCCCTGTTCTCTCTGTGTTCCTTGAGGCCATTAACCTAAATCATACAAATTTACTTTACGAAACAAACAAACTCAACATTGGCCGGAGACTCTAATTTTTATCCTTATATCTTTGCAACCTTATGGCGTAATCCAATGATGTTACAAACAGTGTTATATTTCTTTCGATAACAAAAGTTTTTCAATAGGTTGTACATTGAGGTGTACTTTCGGAGTTTTTTTTTTAATTCCCCCCTCGGCAATATCTTCACAGAGTGTGTATTGCATTTCTTATATTTTTACAATTATCCTTTTTTTAAATAGAGTCAGTAAATTCAAAAACGTGGAGTTAAAAGGTTTTTCGAATTCCTATATTAAACTACATAAATTTTCTTTAAGTACACATTTGTTAATGAACTAAATTGATCAGAGGTTAATCAAAATATTGAAAAATCTGATAAGCATGAAGATGTTTTAATGATAATTGCTAATGATATAAATAATAATTTAGGGACAAAATAATTTAAGATAATTTCAAGAAGACTTCACAAGGATTGATCAAATATTCTAAAAAATTAAATCAAAATATTAAAATCAAAGAGAAATTGATTTCCCATTAGAGGGACTGTAAAGGAAAAATGAAAGGGGGTATAGGCTGAAACCTGAGAATCTCAGGAGTTGATTGAGACATAAAAGAGTTCTATCTAGTGTTCCTGTCTCGAGAAAATGACATAAAACTGTGTCAAAATTATACCAAAACGTACATATGATAGATATACGTCCCTATCACGTGACCAAAACTCCCTCCAATGGCAAGTGAAACAGACGGAGACATGTGACAATAATAATGCACTGCCATTGTTTGGAATTCTGGTGACATGTTTAATATTATCAATTATAAGTATTAAAAATGAAAAATTATTAAATTCAAATAATAATAGGAGCAAACTTGAGTTTCTCAAGCTTCTCTGTGATATCGTTGTTTTCAGATTGGTTGCGTATTTTCTGAATATGATCTGTTTAATACTACGAATCTTATACAAAATCTTACATATATACGTTTTGGTATAATTTTGACACAGATTTATATCAATTTCTCGAGACAGGAACACTAGATAGAATTCTTATAGGTATCGTTCAACGCATGAGATTCTCAGGTTTCATTCTATACCCCCTTTCTTTTTTTTCCTTTACAGTTTCTTTAATATAAATAAAAATAATACATTTATGAAGTAAAAAGTGAGAACTGTAGAGTCGGAAATGAGTTTAAAAATTCAAGGCATTTTTGTCCTAAAAAAAAACTTTGCTTAAATAAGTCTGGCCCTCACAATAAACTCGAATATTTTCTGAATAGCTACTGTTGAATAAACTCCAATATTTTCTGAATAGCTACTGTTGAATAAACTCCAATATTTTCTGAATAGCTACTGTTGAATAAAA